CTGCTATCATTCACAATAAAAATATGCCCGTGTTTATGCATGGCATTTTCACAGGTCTTTGCAAGTATGACACTCTTTTGTATGTAACTTGAAATTTATGTTTGATGATCTTTTTTTGCATAATAGAAGCTAGTTAGATAGTGTTTTTTAAATTTTGGTCATGAAATACTTGGAAAATGGACAGTTTCCTACTAGATCGTGTTAATATTTTGGCTTGTTAAATAACGAGTAGTGTCAACGAATCCTAGTCTTCTAGTTGCGGTCAAGACTTTTCGAACAAAGGCGAACGCTATGTGGGCAGTTCACATACCAGGAGATCAGGAGCTGGCGCTATGTGGTAAGAGTTGTGTGAACCCAGCATCTGCATCTGATTCATTCTGATGTCCTCATCCGACACTGTGATAGCCCCATCAATCGGATCTCTTTGTGCACCTACATGATTGAGCATAAGTGCAAGGAGTGCCCATACCAAAACAATGTTCCGTGCCATTTTCGTTTGATACCAACGCGGCATTGTCACTTACGATCGCAGTGAAGTTGTGATATGTGAAGACGACAGGCTCGTGGTATACAGGAAAGAACTTCAGAATAATTTACATGCACCAACCTATGCGTCACCATTTCAACAATCTATACTTATGTGAGCACCCCTGTTTCCATCTACCAATGAAATGCTAGGTCGCGTTCAAAGTTGTGATCAGAAAGATAAGAAAGGTCAGATCACTTAGCTGCATTTCAGCCGCTTTTCTAGAAACAAAAGCCAGAGAAAAAGTTACTTAAAGATTTCACAGCCCTCTAGAATTTATAAACCGAATTTTTTCTATCATATGAACGTGACCCCCGTGAGCCCGTGACCCTCTCTAGATACATATTTACTAGAGAGAGAAGTGTAGAATTTAATAAGGTAGAGCGGGCAAGTCCACAGCACCCTATAAACACTGGAATTCAGTCCTAGACGCTAAATAGTAGTGGTAATAGTTACACTATCCAGAATCGTGTCGATATATTCACGCACGGATGCGATGTGCAAATTAAACCGCACTGAAAACGAATGCGACTGTTACTATATTACAATGGAAATATGCTGAGTCGACTGGTGGATCAGGTCGGATTTTGGTCGAGGTTTTATCGATCGACCACCAGTTCACTACAACGTATTTTTGTGAACTGTAATCGTCCACAATATAGACCTAAATAACACTTCTTCACATCTAAATTCTCACATAGTTATATAGGAGATATTATACGATATTGATGGCTGCATATCATTGACGATGGTTCTCATCTACAATCAACGCACCGGTGGTACATTCAAGAGTGGAAATTTAGTCCATCCGCATGACATATGCCTACACGTAAATATTCGCATTGAGTAAGTTGGCTATTATCTTGTCATATATATATATATATATATATATATATATATATATTACTATATACACACATTCTCTCTCATACACACTCTCTCGCGCACACAAATACACACACAC